TTGAAACATCTTTGTTTGTTCGATTACTTGTTCACAGTAGTGTGTATCATTCTGAAACTACTGTGTATCAGTGAATGATATTTACGAATTTTATTAGAATTTTTTCGAATATTGTGTCATTCGACTGCCGACACAGCTACCAGACCGCAACTTGAGATGATTGAGGCAGTTTTAATGGAGCTATCATCGAGGAAATGTAAATTAGGGCCGGGAGTTAGTTAGCCGGTATTATCACACCTGTTCGCGCGCCAGCCTTGTTGACTCGACAAACACTGACCATATGCCACTGCAAACAGGGCCCGCTGATAACTGATAAAGCGTATGTTTGTACTTAATCGAGCATTATCTATTCATAACAGCTTCTTTCTTTTTTTTTTTTTTAATTAGTAGAAAATATAGAGTGAACATTTTTTAAAATTCCTAGAAAAAAAAAGCTAATCTAATATCATACCAGGAGTCCACAGACTACAATGATGGTAAGTAAGAAAGTTCCAAATTGTACGTGAATAAAAAAAATTAATTAAAAAAAACGGCTACAGAAATTGAGCAAATTTTTCCACCCTGAGGGAATATATTTCCATTTCTTCTGAAACATTTTGGTATCTACGAATTGCAACTGATATCTAAGAATATTTAAACTTGGTGAAGTGGTCTGGTTCCTTTCACTACACATAGTGTTGCCCAAAATCGATCTTACTCTTGCACTTTGCAAGACCAAGACCAACACCACCTATCTGTTGCAAGATCAAGACCAAGACCAATACTGTAAAAAAATCGATTTTTCGAATAAAAATTGAGGCAAAAGAGCTACTAATACTTGAAAATTTTAATCACTACATGTAAAGAATTGGTGTAACATTATAATTTGTATTTAATTTTTCTTTAGACTTAGTTAGGTTTCTCATATTTAAGAAAATGCAGTAATATCTCTCTAATAATAAGCTAATAGGCAACTGCAACACTGTTACGATAGTCTTGCTCAAGACCAAGAGCTAGATCAAGACTAAGTTTGCAAGACAAAGACTCGACTCGGTCTCGCATTTGGCAACACTGACTACACATTACGGCTTTAGACAACTATATTTAGTCCCATGTATCGGTTGAACCACCACCAACACCAACTTTAAATATTCTTAAAAGTAAATTTCCCTATCAATCTACCAAGATGTTTCAGTAGATAAGGAAGAACATTCCCTCAGGATGCATAAAATTTTCCAATTTCTGTAGTTGGTTTTTTTTTTTTTTAAATTAATAAATATTTTTATATTTTAAAATGTTAACAACTAATTTTTATAACATATGATCATTTATAACATGAAATTATTTCAAATCAATAAATGATCGAGATATTTAAACTATAATAAATTTTTGTTTTAATGTTAGAGTAAAAACACAGATGTAGCTTTTTAACGGTTTGAGAGTGAGTTTTGAGCGAATAGATGGAAAACTGGATACAATGGTATCATAACATTCTTACAAACCATGCAACACATGCGAATCTACGAAAATGATAAAATATAACCATAGTCCGTGGTACAGAGTCCTTTTTATCGAATTATTAACATCCGTCTGAAACTTCGTTAATTTTCATCGTAACCAACAACTATTTTATTTACGTCAACTGTTGGAATTTGGGAGTTTTCAAATCTGGAGGGGGGTAAACTTTGTCTAATTAATTAGGTATTAAAAACTCGTAAATATCCATTTGCTTTCTACTTGGACCGTAAGATAAATTGATAAAAAATATGGTCTATAAAAATATTGAGCCATTTGTCCTATATAACCTCGTTATTTTGAAAATTTGGGGGTGTAGGTCAACGCCCAACGGCTCAATATTTTGAAGGCTACCTTTTTTCTCGACTTTGTGATCAAATTATCTTACGATCCAAGTAGAAAGCAAATGTGTATTTACGAGTTTTTACTACCTAATTAATTAGACAAAATTTGTCCTTCCAGATCGAAAACGCTCCAATTCTCCCAAATATGACTTCTATTCATCCATAGATTGGATACGAAATGCTGATTTATTTGCATCCTACATAGATTTCTTTATCAATTCATAGATTTTGTTTGAAAGGATTTTAGCTAACAAATTTGAGAAAATTGAGTTTACTGAGTGAGAAGGGCGTGCGTACGTGCGTTATTCAACTATAGTTAAGGATGGTCAGCAATAATCGATATTATCGAAATATCGATATTTTCCTCTACTGCTACGCACTAAATTCTATATGAAACAAAGCAAGATGAGGTATAATTTTTTTTCTAACGATCAGATTCATATATTATATTATTCCTATCTCTTTCAAAAAACGATAGTTTTAATTTTTATTTTTAAATTAAAATATCGAAGGGACGATATCGACAGTAGGTTACATCGAAGTATCTACTATCGATGGTACAGTATCGAATATCGATATTTCGATAATATAGACTATCGACGGCCAACCCTACTTCAGACCTTAAAGGTTAAGTTAACATGGAAATGGCTAGAGTGAGAAAGGTTAAAGATATTTTCAATCTTGATGCAGCTTGTTAGTAAAACGCTTGGCAACTTATTTATTAACTTATAATCTGAAATACTCTATATTTTGTTTTGGGGCCCTTCAATAATAACCAATCAGTAGTTTTTATCTTTTTTACTTTCCTCCCTATAATAGGTAAGGAATGTATTGCAATCGGGTCAAATTTCCGATATGCGTTTTTCGATGGATCTATACGTTTCAGAGCTCTCTGAGTCCGAAAAACACATTTTAAGCCATTTGTCTGTCTGTGCCAAGATTTTCTCGGGAACTACTGAACCGATTTTGTTGCTTCTTTTTTTATTTTGTAGTGTTTAGACTACTGATGCCTGTAACAGAAATTCGGTGCTCCATGCGCAATAAATGAAAAACATGTTTTTCTATAGACTGTAGCGCAAAAACGGCTCTATCGATTTTGATGAAACTTTCCTATAATGTTCTAATAATTGTCATTTCAATTTTCGTATATGGACTAAATTCCCGAGAAAATTCAGGGAAAAAAGTTATAAAGAAAAGAAAAATTTTATGGGGCCTAACTTCCTAAGTATATATTATACCGTAAAATTTATAATAAAACTTTTGAACGGTAATGAAATTCCCTACAAAACTATATAAAAATCATTCATTTTGGACAACTATTAACGAAGTTACAGCTATTCAATTTCCAATGTAAGATTGCGGGTTGATATCCTGGTGTCAGAAATGGATGTATGAGAGAAAAAAGATGACTAAGTGAAAGTAAGAAAATCTGTTGCCCGCATCACACAAGCTTCACTATTTTCTCTACTTTTAACATAAATTATTGTTTAACAATACTAAGCTATGGCAACTTTTTGATCAGCAATATAAGAGAGTTTTGAAATGTTTACACTGATCTACCTTAAGCCAGTTTACATTGCTTTAGTTTATCAAATCAATCGTACTCAAATCTTTTCTTTGATCAATTTTCAGGAAAGTAAATCTAGTTCAATTTTTTTTTCTATTTCTTCATGGACATATTTAAAGATATAAAAACTTCAATGAAATAGGTAGGAAAGTCGTGTGAGTGGAAACACCAGATGTTTTTTATTTTTTCTCTCATTAATTATGGTAATTGATTTTAATTATCATGTTCTACTTGTGATTTTAAGTTGAGAGTTGAAATAAATAAATGAAGGAGGCAGTGACATGTTTACTTTATTCAGTACAGGCTGACTCACGGCAGCTGTCAACCTGCTCGCCAGTCGATCAACGAGGCATCTACAAACATCGAAATCAAAACTAATGCCGTCTTAAACGCTTCAATCACTTCATCAACATCAACATTTATTTCTCTTAATCAAAACTACATTACATACGGTAATGTCCTGTCACGTGACTGTGCAATTTCCGATTAATCGTCTAATAATAATTTAATTATAATATATTTATACACCAAATACAACAAGAATTTGTTGAAGTGTAGTTAACCAAATTAATCGAAGTGAATTAATTATCTTGTGAGCAAAAATATAAATAAAAAAACATGAAAAACAATCGGTACGGTACAAGTACCTTTTTATTAAATTATTAACAAAACTAAGTTAATGGTTTCATCTTATCGTAACTTACTAACTTCGTAACTTTCTAATTATATCGTAACTTTTTTTACTTACGAAAATTCGCGGAAATGGGAAAATTTCTCATTAAATTAATTTATTTAATGAGACACTAAAAACTCACGAATACTTGCTTTCCACTCGATTCGTAAGTCAATTTGACCACTAAATCGAAACCTACAAAAATGTTGGGCTGTTAGGCCAGAATAACCTCGTTATTTTGACATGTGGGCCGTGGAGATCGCGCTAAACGGCTTAATATTTTTATAGGCCACCTTTGTTTATTAATTTGTGATCAAATTAACTTACGATTTAATTGGAAAGGGAAACAGGAGTGCTCATGAGTTTTTTAATAAAAAAAAACTCGTTTAATAGATAAAGTTTATCGATCCTGATTGATAACGCCCTAATTCTAAGAAATTTCGTAAAAAAAAAAAAATTTGTAGGTTACAATAAGACGAAGGCATTCACTAAAATGAACACATATATTAATCTAATAAAGTAAATTAGAAATAAACGAAATAGTTAATAATAGAGAGTATACAAAGAAAAAAACCGTTTTTCAACCAAATATTTGTATTATTATTTCTTTGATATAAAATACAATTAATACTCAAAGTACAGTCCATTCTTATCTACCGTCATTAGCCAACTGCTCGATCCCACGTTGATACCATACTTTGGGATGCCTGTCAAAGAACTCTTGGACCGCAATTTCGACTTCCGCAAAATTATCAGTTTTTTTCACTTAAAGAAAATGAACCATGTATATAAGCAGTAACCCGGGGTCTGAACTACATGGTGGATGAGGCAGAAGTTTTTCAGGCAAGTGTTTTTCAATAAATGTTCACAAATTTCTAACCTCTTAGCTGATTGCTGAGGAGTAAGTTCGTGAGGGAACAGTCTACTGCTCTTTCTCACCTTCCCCAAGGAGGGTATCTTTCGACACAACACACTCTCTGGAAAGTTCGTCGAGTACTTCTTCTGGACGAATTTGACTCAACAGCTTCTTGCATAACGTCATCAATATCCAATAATGGCCGCCCAGAGCTCTTCTTCCTTTCCAACGTCGTATCTCCACTGCTAAATTTTTCAAACCAACGCCGCGCAGTGCGCTGGTCAAAGACACCTTTCCCTTCATATTTAATAATTTCAAGAGTTGCTTCAACGGCTGTGAAATTTTTTTTCCAGTAATGCCTTAAATTACGAGAATTTCATATGACCCTGTCATGTTTCTTCTTTGAAATAAATAACTAAACTGAGGCTTTTTTTTGAAAATTCTAATGGGATTAAACAAGCTCAGAGAATGCTCTAAATTGATTATTAAGTATGGTAAGTATTAAATTGGATTAAAATATTTACAGTCCTATGAAATCTTGAATTTGATAAAACGGTCATTTTTTTACCCCATGGAGTGGAATAGGTCAGTGGTAAGCTTCCAATGATCGAGGTCCAAATCGAATCCCGGCTCATCGCAGAAAAATTATTTATTCTGTTTCATTGGCCGTGGGGCGACCCTGGGAAACGGAGACCCTTCTGGGACACACCCAGCCTCAAAGTGGGTACCCTTAATTAAATAATTGATTAAGGGAGAAAACCTGGCGGTTGAGCGTGATCCTGGCCCGATTCCCTCCCTGCACAACATTGGCCTTGAAACAGTACTTTCCCTAAATAGTACTGAACTAAGATCCTTTATGGGTAGTAGTGGTACAGGTTTTCTTTTTTCTTTCTTTTTTTTTTTTTTTTTTTGGCTATTAAACAGGATTAAAATATTGACAGTCCTTTGAAATCTTGAATCTGATAAAACGGTCATTTTTTGTTTATACACCCTATTGGTATAAAAAACAGTTTAACCACTCAAAGTTTAATATCAAAGTTGAAAAATATCCCAACTACACACTACGATTGACACCCTGTTGGAGACATCACAGATGGCGGCTTAGTCTTAGCGCGCCATCTGTATTTGTCCAGTAAATATTCGACCATATATTGGATTCGGAATTATGATAATCTTATCCAGTTATAATTTGATTCAATTGTCGACTATCAATGCATTTTAATGCCTTTGGGAGTTTATCTCGATATGGACAAGGATTGGATAAAACTATTTCAGGGTCATAGTAATGTTAATTGACCATTTGATGTCTCCTAGCTTTACATTCGTTTTCCACATGTCTTTTCAGGTTGAAAAAAAAAGTAATGGTATTCATTTTTTGTATTGTTTTTAAGAATGAAATCGTCACATTAAAATAAATGTACCTCAATGACAAGAAGAAATATCTGAATGTGAATGTGAAAAAATGTAACGACTGTTACTGTCCCTGAGAATGCAAAGTTCTTCAAGCTTTGATATGACATAATAAGTATCCATTAATTTTTAACCATGGCGAATTTTACTTTTACATGGTAGTATTTCGAATTATAGATAACTTTTTAGCTTTCTCAAATACTTTGATTATAAAGTAGGAAAACTGGTTTGCCCACAAAATTTGGATACAAACGTAGTACCGAATGTTTCCAGGTTTTCTTACAACACTGTTCATTTAATATGACTGAAAATGTTTTAAAAGCATCAGTCTGTAGCGCCAGCTATCAGTCCATGTGATATAAATATATTATATAAGCCGAAATTTCCACCCCAATAACAGGAATAACAGGATCTGCGTTGAAGGAAAATCATTCCCGACAGTAGAAAAATTAAAATACCTAGGCACCACAATAACATCAATGAATGACCACCGGGCAGAAATAGACCAGCGTATAACTAGAACAAAATTCTTGCCCCTGGCGCACAGTACCGATCTAGAAGGACAAAATTCATTAACCATAATTTTCGATTGGAAATCATGTATTTGTCACAAATAAATATAAATAAGACTTTTATAGTTTAAATTTATTAAATAATATATTGATTTACGGAAAAAGTTTTTAAAAATCCAGTTTTTTTTAAAAGATTGTGAAAAAATTACTATATATAATAACCATAATTTTCGATTGAAAATCGTGTATTCGTCACAAATAAATAAAAAGAAAGATTTATGGTTTAAACTACTTAATATAACACTATTTTTTTGTAAATATATATATATGTATTTCCAGAGAACTTCCAGAGAAAAAATGAACGATAACATAAATAAAAGAAAAATATTGTGTAGAAATTAATTTAATTGATTTCCTCATCTATAGTTTCGACACCCGTAGGAAAGTACTCTCTAACTGAAGTAACTCATAATCACTTCCTGACTGCAATTAATAGTCCGTGGTACAGACCCCTTTCTATTGAATTATTAACATCCGCCTGAAACTTCGTAAGTAGTTTCATCTCATCGTAACCTGCAACTATTTCATTTACGAAAACTCTTGGAATTGGTGCGTTTGCAATCTGGTGAGGAGTAAAATTTGTATATTTAATTAAACACTAAAATCTCATAAATACCCATTTTTTTCTACTTGGATCGAAAGATAATTTGATCACAAAATCGACAAAAAAAAAAGTGACCTACACTCCCAAATTTTCAAAATAACGTGGTTATATTAGGACAAACGGCCCAATATTTTTATAGGCCACTTTTTTTAATCGTTTTTCTGATCAAATTGTGTTACGATCCAAGCAGAAAGCAAATGAGTATTTACGAGTTTTTAGTACCTAATTAAATAGACAAATGTTGCCCCCATCCAGATTGAAAACGCCCAATTCCAAGAGTTTTCGTAAATAAAATAGTTGCAGGTTACGATGAGATGAAACTATTTACGAAGTTTCAGGGCGATGTTATTAATTCGATAAAAAAGTGTCTACACCACGGACTATTAATTGCAGTCAGGAAGTGATTATGAGTTACTTCAGTTAGAGAGTACTTTCCTATGGGTGTCGAAACTATAGATGAGGAAATCAATTAAATTAATTTCTACACAATATTTTTCTTTTATTTATGTTATCGTTCATTTTTTCTCTGGAAGTTCTATGGAAATACATATACATAAAAATATTGGGCCGTTTGTCCTAATATAACCACGTTATTTTGAAAATTTGGGAGTGTAGGTCACTTTTTTTTTGTCGATTTTGTGATCAAATTATCTTTCGATCCAAGTAGAAAAAAATGGGTATTTACGAGATTTTAGTGTTTAATTAAATATACAAATTTTACTCCTCACCAGATTGAAAACGCTCCAATTCCAAGAGTTTTCGTAAATAAAATAGTTGCAGGTTACGATGAGATGAAACTATTTACGAAGTTTCAGGCGGATGTTAATAATTCGATAGAAAGGGGTCTGTACCACGGATTATAATAGTTCCCGTTTATTTCCTTGGATTTTTTCTTTCCTTATGACACAGTCTGAAAATTTTTGCCCTCAAAAATCAATAACCCCGAACAAATGTGCGCCCTCAAAATTTTCGCCATAAAGACCCCTTCTGCGCACCTCCACTGTATTACATCCTTTACTTTCCACTCATTAATTTTTCGAAGCAACGAAAAAACATTATTCGGTCTCCCTGCTCCCTCGAAACTTCGAGAAAAATGGTAGTTGTTAGCAGGTCTAGAAAATATGCTTCAGCTACAAATTTCTTCTTCTTCAAAAAAAAAAAAATCATTTTCAAAGCATTTTTCCAAAGCTCAGTTGTGTTTTTCGTAAATAGAACAACATTGCCTTTCAAACGTGTATACATTTTTATTATATAATTCATAACGTTTTAATAAGATTAAATAAAATTGATTCCAACACTTTAGTTTATGTTTTCTGAAACAATTAAAAAAACTGTGCTTTGCGCAAAGCTGAACAAAATTTGACCTATATTAATTTAAAGAATTCTACAAAATGAAAATAAAATTATATATTCGAGATACCGGAAAGGGTATTTGGCAGACCATAAAAGCGTTATTTATGTATTTCAAAGAATTGATTTAAGCCAATTTTAACCAACATCAAACTGGTCTAATCTAAATTAATCCAATGAAAAATAAAGATAATTAATTGAATTATCAAAAGCAGCCTTAAGCAATCATAGTCTCTGATTTAATTTATAAATAAAGTAATGCTGAAACTATTTGTCAACTGGTAAAACTGAAGGCCTTCTCGTCCAAACCTCTCTCTTCTGTACTCTACTGTGAGAGTTTAAACGAACTTTGAAAATTTACTAAGCCACCAACTGTCTATAAAAAGGACGATATATTACAGTTCTCATATTGTGAATGTTTTTTTTGTTTTTTTTGTCCTCCTAGATCGGAAATCGTCTCCACTGTAGGACGCACAGAACCCTAAGTATTCTATATAAGTGTGAAGGAACTTATTAAAAAACAAAATTTAATCTAATGTTTTTATTTAGGTTAATAACAGCAGTACTCTGGTAAGTAAAAAAGGATACTTTACATAACGACTTACGACAACTACAGAACAACACATTCGTACTCTTTACTCCTGATTCGACATTACTACTAAATGGAAACAACAATACACTTATACACGACATGGCCATGACTGACATGCCCATCAGGAGGCGACTGAAAAGGAGCTGGATGAAAGATCTTTCCTGAATTAAAGAAGCTCATACATATAATGTCTTATTCCAAGTTCACTACACCACATCCACTTATTTTCAAATCTATAACAGGTGTGGATTAAAGTTTGTATAAAAAAACAACTGATAAACGTTCATTTCAGTTAACGAATAGTTAAGATATGAATTACGCAATCAGAACCTAAATATTTTAAATTTAATAACATGAGTGACAGGTGTGAGTTAAAAAACAAAAGAAATGCGGAAAAGAAAAGGAAAATATCAACATTCTCTTGTAAATACGATAATCTCCCGATATCTGCTGATATTGCGTTATGACATTGTAAAGATAGCTTATTTGCGAATTTATCAGCAAAAAAAATGGATTTAAATTGGCTAAATTGATTAGTAATACCACTCTTATTCTGTGTCAGAAGATGAACAAAAAAAATCTGGTGCTGTGCGCGCATCACACAACTTTCACTTACCACTCTCTTCTTAGCAGAAATAAGTATTTTCAGACAAAGTGGAAGTGAAAGTAAAAATTATAAATGCTTTATTGATTTATATTTCATTGTGGATATTTTAATTTTTTTAAATACCCTTATATATACAAATTTTAATATTTATTTCGCTGCAATCTATACAATTAAATACTAAATAATATCAACGAAAACCGTTTTATATTAAGCTCATGTTACTA